GACGGCGCGCGTGCACGTCGTGAGTCAGCAGACGCCTTGCGAGTCTCATATTAGTATTAATAAGGAACTTTGTAAAATGTTTCCCAAACTTTTCTCAGGTAGTCTCGGATCGTTTAATAAATATAAAATTGACTTACAGTTAAAACGTGATGCACGGCCAATTTTTTTTAAGGCGAGACCCGTTCCTTATGCTCTAAGGGAGAAACTAGACGAGGAGCTTGACCGGTTATTAGCGTTAGGCATTTTAAAACCCGTAGAAAACTCCGACTATGCATCGCCCGTTGTGCCCGTACTAAAGAAAAACGGTAGCATTAGACTGTGTGCTGACTACTCGGTTACAATCAATAAACAATTGGTAATTGACAAATATCCTTTGCCAACGGTAAATGATTTACTAGCTAAGCTACACGGGGGCGTACAATTTAGTAAGATAGATTTATCTATGGCGTATAACCAATTTATTTTAAATGAAAAGTCGCAAATGTTAACTTGTATCAATACTCATCGCGGTCTTTTTAAGTTTACACGATTAGTGTTCGGGTTGTCTAGCGCACCAGCCATATTCCAACGCGCGATGGAATGTTTATTATCAGGAATTGAAGGTATCATCTTTCTATTGGACGACATTCTGATAACGGGCTCAAATAGACACCAACACAAAACAAGACTCACTACGGTCTTGCAACGCTTAGATGATGCGGGGTTAACTGTACAAATGAATAAATGTGAATTTTTTAAGGATGAAATTTCATACCTAGGCCACATCATAGATAAACACGGGGTCAGAAAATCGCCAGATAAAGTTAAAGCAATTTTGCAAGCTCCCAAACCGACAAACCTAACACAGTTACAGTCGTTTTTAGGTCTAACAAATTATTACCGTAACTTTGTGCCAGACGCGTCATCGATTTTAAGTCCATTATATGATTTACTAAGTAAAAACACAAAGTGGGAATGGACACGTAGGCACAATGACGCGTTTGTCCGAATAAAAAATATTTTAGCGTCTGATAGAACCCTGGCACATTTCGATCCAAATGCTAAGTTAATACTAACGGTAGACGCGTCACCGACGGGACTGGGTGCAGTTCTGTCGCAAGTAGGTCCGGATGAGTTAGAGCGGCCCATATCGTACGCTTCCCGAACATTATCGCCAGCGGAAAAAAACTACGCACAGATCCAAAAGGAAGCGACAGCTATCATTTTTGGTGTTAAGAGGTTCCATCAGTACCTGTATGGTCGTTCACAGCCTTTCGTGCTCAGAACTGACCATAAACCCCTCCTGGCTATATTTGGGCCCTATAAAGGTATTCCCGAAGTATCCGCTAATCGCTTGCAAAGATATGCTATATTTCTAGCCGCATATAATTATGTAATTGAGTACATTGGTAGTAAGCAAAACAGTGCAGATTATTTATCTCGCGCGCACGGCGATGACAGCAAGACAGAAACAGCGGACGAGCTCACGGAATGCGAGGACCGCGCGGCTTACGTGAATTTCGTAGTGGACGGCGATTTCCCTGTCACTTTAAATGATTTGCGTCGAGAAACAGCTAAAGACACTAACCTGACCACTATTAAAAATTACGTGTTAAACGGGTGGCCTAGGAAGGTTACTGACGCTGCGTTACAACCATTTTTCAATTGTCGAACTCAGTTATCTTACGAAAGCGGTATATTAATGCGGGGACATAAGGTAGTTATTCCGCCGACTTTGCAAGAAAATATATGCAGGGAATTGCATAGTTCGCATTTCGGCGTCGTCAAGATGAAGGCAGAGGCTCGCAAGCGATTGTGGTTCCCTGGCGTGGACGCTGCGCTGGAACGGGTGGCGGGTGCGTGCGCGGTGTGCGCGGCATTGCGCCCCGCGCCGCCGCACGCTCCTCTTGCACCTTGGCCGCTGCCTCCGCAACCATTTTACCGAATTCATATAGATTTCTTAGGGCCGTTTCACAACTACATGTTTTTAATTATTGTAGACGCATACAGTAAATGGGTCGAGTGTTATAGCATGGCATCATCCTATAATTCAAAGTCAGTCATAACTAAAATTAACGAATTTATGTCTCGGTTTGGTATTCCACATACTTTGGTGAGTGACAATGGCACATCGTTTACATCATTCGAATTCAAAGAGTTTTGTAAACTTAACGGTATCGAACATTTGTATTCACCTGCGTATCACCCGGCCAGTAATGGACAAGCCGAAAGTTTTGTTAAAATCATCAAAAAGGGGTTAAAGGCTATAATGTTACAAGGGTGTAATAAATTTTCAATACATGACAAAATTGCAAAATATTTATTCGATTACAGGAACTCCAAGAATAGTACCACTGGTAAGTCACCCGCAGAATTAGTATTTGGGCGTTCGTTGCGCTCACGGCTTGATTTATTGAACCCTTTCGCATCGCCTTCGTCATCGACGTCCAAAGACCTAACGCAAACCGTCGCGCGTAAGCAGTCCTTACAGGCTAAATATTATCGCGGTGTACAAAGACCAGACTTCAAAGTTAACGACCTTGTCTGGATAACTAAGAATATTAATAACAACAAAATCGGTTGGCTCGAAGGTATTATAAGAAAAAAAATCGGGAATGTCATGTACGCTGTGTACGTGCCGCAGTTGAATGGTGAAGTCACCAGGCATATGGACCAAATAAGAAAAAGACTGCCTTCATCATCAATGGCAACCGGGGAAGAACAGGACTGGGACCCCGACGTGATTCCGGATGTGGCGTCGCCTGCTACCGACCACGACGAGCCTGTCATACAACCAGAGAGGGAAGAAGAGGCGACAACTGGCCCAGTACAAGCTACGGCCGCGCCGGGTTCAGACCCTACACCTCCTGGGACATCACCGGAGACCTCGCCGTGCAGCTCCCGCGTCGTTTCGCCCTTCAGGCGAAGGGCAATTAGCCCAATCTTTTCGACACCTTAGTCGACCTAGTACTCTGGAGTTTAGTTTTATTAAGTAGATTTAACTAGTACTTAGGCGATAAGCTAAGCGTTATATTCCCTATCTTAGGGGGGAGAGATGTTAGGTTGGTAAACCTAGCGACGAATGCGCACCGTAATGTTGGTATGACATGCGCGGGCTGCGTACCGCGCGTTCCCGCCTATTTTTAAAAAATAAATTAGTGTGCCACAGATTAGCGAGTTTGATTGACGTATTGCATCGTTCCCGTTTCCCGCGCAAATACATTACAGGAAGGAACTGTTATCGTTAACAAAAAGGATATGAAAGAGAAAGCCACTAGTGTTCATTTTACTAATAATGCTTTACTCTATCTATTCCAAGATATAAGATACGAGCTAAATGGCGTGGAAATCGATAGAATAAAAAATGCTGGTGTAACTACCACCATTAAATCGTTAATATCAATGAGTGAAAGTGAGTCGAAGATATCTCATGCATGGGGCTGGAATATCGATGGAATAAAAAATATTAATGGGGGTAGCTTTTCTGTTTCTATACCACTCTGTAACATCCTCGGTTTCGCTGAAGATTTTAAGAAAGTTGTGATAAATGGTAGACATGAACTGATATTGCTACGAAGTAACACTAATCTGAATGCAGTCAAACTTAACACCGGTGAATTTGTAGACGACGTACAGATAAATAAAATTATCTGGCGTGTACCACATGTTAAAGTGTCCGACAAAGAGAAAATAACTTTGCTAAAACTGTTAGAAAAAGATCGACCACTCCAGATGATATTCAGAAATTGGGATCTGTATGAATATCCCGCTTTACCTAAAACTACAAAACATACCTGGTCTATCAAAACATCCTCACAAATAGAGAAACCAAGATATATAATTATGGGTCTACAAACAAATAGAAAAAACAATTCAACTTCTGATATGTCTCAGTTCGATCACTGCCATGTTCGTGATGTCAAAGTATACTTAAATTCATCTTACTTCCCGTATGAAAACCTAAATATCAGCTTCACGAATAACAGAATTGCTTTATTATACGAGCAATACGTCAGATTTCAACAGTCTTATTACGGTCGTCGTCCGGAACCCTTATTAAGTGAGAAACAATTTAAAGATTTGGCACCGCTATTTGTCATAGATTGCTCTAGACAAGCTGATAATGTAAAGACAGGTCCTATTGTGGATGTAAGAGTGGAAATCGAGAGTGAGACGGATATACCAGATCAAACTTCTGCATATTGTCTTATATTGAATGACTGTATAATTGAGTATAAGCCGTTGAGTAATACTGTGAGAAAAATATCATGAATCCGAATACTATCATACTAGATGTTCAAGGGTTCAAAGACCTAAAAAATGAATTTATAATAAAAGAATTAGCTATTGCTAGTCGTGATTATACGCAAACATTTTTAATAAAACCACCATACTTGTTTAAATACTTAACAAGTGATGAAAAGAGACAGGTTAGATGGTTAGAAAGAAATAGAGGCATTTATTGGAATGAAGGTTATATTGACTATAGAGAATTTCGACGTATAATCGTTCCGTATTTAGAAAATAAGGAAATAATTGTAAAGGGTTTAGAGAAGGTGAATTGGATAAAGGATCTTTGTGTAAATTGTAAAGTTTCAGACCTTGGTCCAGAACAGTGCCCTAATTTATCTGTTTTGCATGAAAAATACTGTGAAGGAACATCTAACTTTAATTGTAATAAACATATAAAGCACTGTGCGCTTAAAAATGTACTTTGTCTAAGAAAGTATTTAGAATGGGCTTAAGATGTAAATTATAATGTGTAATGTACTTAGGTATTGGTTTTTAAATAAAAAATCTAAATAAGTTAAATATGATTTTATTTTACTTAACACCCCGTACATATTAAATATAATACATAAATATAATACTTAGTATAGTATATTACATACATGGCTACATGGTTTACACGGTATCTATTAAAGATTTTGATATTTTCTTAACCAAACACTCAGTATCGTCCATAACACTGTCGATACAATCTTGAACAATATATTGTGCGTTCATAATTACGTTCTCACTGTCACTATCACTGTCTATGGTTTGAGAGTTGTTATTGCAGAGATCTACCACCGAAATTTTTATTAATTTAATCCCTCTTCGTTGTAGTCGACTCATAACGAAGGATTTGTTGGGTTTTTGCTTTTTCGACTTTTCTCTGCATCGTTGTTTTGGTTTTTTATCCTTCGTGACCTGTTTGCTGTGCTCGGGTTCACTGCGAAACATCTCAGAGAATCCGTCTAAGGGATCCTGAGCATACTGGCTGAACACAATCTCGGATTCTGAAGAAATCTGGAACCAAATATAAACACAACTTATACCAGTATCATGTAAATTTTGCGCAGTTTTCTATCGAGACATTTCTCAAAAACAGCCTGAAATCTAGGCTTAGATAAATGGTTAACTGGTAACCCTTCTCAGCAGTCGGGTGAAAACACATTTAAGAAATATTTTACTCACCGACATGATGACTTTTGGTGAAAATTAGAAATATTAAACAGACGTTCGCCGTGAACAATATTTTGTAAATGATTAATAATTAATATTATTACAAAATTACCTGTCATACTAACGTCAACTGAGCATTTATGTCTCCAGGCTAAGGGCAATGAACTCCAACATAGGTAATAATTACACAATGACAATTCATATAGTGCCTTGTAAGCACATTACTCGAGAGTGGTAGTTACTTGAAAATCAACCTTAAGATGCAGGGTATTCTAGGTGCATAGTTTAACTGCAATAACTGCAATCAGTATTTACTTTCTTTAAATAGGATATCATAAATAAAACGAGTTAATAGTTGTAACACTTAATTCACATTTTATTTATTTTAAATAACATCATAATTAGTGTCAGTAACATTTAGTTTATTCTAAAACTAAACTTAAACTAATACATGAGTGTATGTAAAACTTAAATAATTAAAATCAAAGTAATTTATTCTTAAAAATTAATGCATGACCCCATGCTCGAGTTGATATTTGATCCACAGATATCGATCTTTTGTCATCGTTTCTAGATAGAGCAACTTTGTTGACAGTTCGAGTAAATATTTCGTGTTGTATCGATTTAAACATAATATTTTTCCTCCGAATTACTCCTCCATTAAACAAAATGGTTTCATAGTCGGATAAGTTTAAATCCCTAACCACGGGTGATTTTACCCCTTTCGCTTTTTTAATTATATTGTTAGAGGTTTTTATAGAGTAAAGTTTCGATCTCAAACCAACAAAATCTGTTATATATTTTCCTCCCATTTCATCTTTAAAAAGACCGGGAACCTTTTTGTTTTTTAGTGGTATCTGTAAATCATTCATGGCCTCATAGTTACTGGTGTCAAAATATTGCAAGAAATTGTATTTCAAATCGTGGTAAAAATCGTTAGTATATATTTTATAGACAAAGGAATCGGTATCTGTGTAACATAGCTGCACTCGATCTTTATAAAAAGGCTTTACAATATTGTAGTGATAGTTATACATATGTGCTTTCGAAAGTTCTAACACAGTGAAGCCGATGTATATTGGTTTATCTAAAATAATTTGATCAGGTTTCATTTGTATTGCAACTAAATTTTCAGTTAAAACCGATGCACTGTGGAAATAAGGGTTGGATATAAGTTTCTCAGCGGATATAAATTTCTTAGTTCGATTAGACTGATCGCACCACTGATTAACCAAATGAACAGTTACTCTATTTTCTGTATTTTCTAATGTTTTTCCAAAAACACTGTTATTTAATAACTTAAAAAAGTCTTGCTCGAAAGAACTTTTTGCTTTTTGCCTTAATTGAGTATTTAACTCTATGTACTGTTTTAAATATGGACTTTGTCTAAAAGTAATAGCTCTATGAATTTTACGTAATATTAAACCATGTTCCAAGCATTTTTTCAAATGAACGTAATGAATTACATAGTTATACTTATTATACAGATTTGCTATAAGTTTCTTTGTTTTACCTCCAGGGGGTACACATTTTTCGGGACAAAATGGTAAGTCATTATGCTCATTATGTAAATGCTCGGGATATAATAAATCAACTTCTAGTATGAAGCCCCACTTTGCGTTATCCTCTATAGAGGTAACATTAAAATTAGCTAATTCGTTATCACTTAAAAATCTGAAACTCGAGTACGGTAAATACTGACACATGCTAAAACCATAAAGATTATTACAATCTAAATACACTATAAAACTCTGAGGTTGTGATGGATTATATTCAGGCATGTATTTATGATTAGCTCTAGCATACCGATGGGAACACATGCATAAACCGCCGCGTATACCGCTTTGTATCATTCTGATAATAGCTAAGTCCGATACCAGTTCTAACTGAACGCCCGTTTTTAGCAACATTGCATCAAAAGATAAACTAGGTGCAGTAATGTAAAACGCGGGGTCAAGATTGTAATATTGTTTGCACGTTTTCCGAAAATTTTGAAATACGTCTGTCAACAAAAGCACATCCGTTTTTAAGTATAGGTCTGTATACTCGCCGAGGTTATCTATTTCGAATTCACTCCAAACAGACTGCGCGTGATTATAATCCTCATCAGTAATGTCTTCGTTAGTCAAAGAGTTAAAAAAGTTACCTTTAGTTGGCAAAGATTTTTGATCATAACATTCCCAATCGGTCATATAGTCATATGGATATATTCCTTTTCTAATTAATAAATTAAACTGACTATTTGTAGGAAAATGAAATCGAAGGTTAACAAAATCTTCCACCTGCAACGTTTTAGCGAGCTTGTCTAGACTCGTTCCTAAAAAGTTAAATGAATCTAAAAATCTTATACAAATATACGCGTTATCAGCAACGGGAATAAATTTAGTAAATGCTACGTATTTTTCTTTAGTCTTGGGTATAATTTTGATCGGGCCGGGAATTTCCCCTAACTGTTTTATGAATAGATGACAATCGTACCCGGATAAATTGTGAAAAAATATCGGAACAAAGTTTGGTACTTTATGTAACAAATTACAATGCCGATGTGCTGCACCTCGATAACGGCCTGTAATATGACAATGGTCTCTTACTTTATCGGACAAGAGTAGATTATCACAAATATGACACTTTACGGCACGTTTGAATTCAATAGAATTCTCATCAGTGAATATCATAGGCTCGTTTTGGGATATTATTTTATGTATTTGTTTCACATCCTCAGTAAGAAAATGTATAAACTTTGAAACACAATCTTTGCCGCGATAACTTCTATAGCCCTCAACGGTATTATTGTTATTTGATGAGACGACATTATATGCGAACGCCGCTGGCACGTGGCGTTTTGAGTATGTCGTATTAGCGGTGTTGGATTCATTACCAGAAATGGGTTCAAGTAACGTTTCGAAGTCGGCATATATGACAAACGGAATACTTTGCTTTCTATTATAATTTTTAAATTTCAAAAACGAGCCTTGTTCCGGTAATACCGTGATAATTCCTCCACACAAGTGGGATTCAATTTGCTTAAGGGTCGGGAAAAATAATAAACAGGTTTCACAAAAATATAATTTACCATGATGTTTGGTCATCTGATTTCTAACTAACCGAGATAAATCCTTGATAAGACAGTAATGAGAATTATTATTGTTTTCTATAAACAGTAGATGGATACTCTTATTACACTTATTATTCAACGTTGTATACAACGGCCCGATAATTGTCTTCTCATTTTTTAAACCATACACAAATATATTGACAGAAGGATTATTTTTCTCAAAGATAGCTATGTCCGAGAATGTAATTGGAAATGTTAAATTATTAACATTTAAAACATCCTGAAAGTGAGGATAAGACGAAATTCTATCAGGGTGTTTGTTTGTGGGGTACAGCGCCGCCACAACACACCACAAAAAGCAATACCCATCATTGTTCCGAATATTCAAACAAGCTCTTTTACTTTTTATGAATTTCGGCAAAGTAAAAAATTTAGATCCGCTGAGTGGTTGATATTTATAAATATTTAATTCTAAGTGCGAATTGCCTAAAAAGGTCCAACCACTATCTCTTTCCTCGAATTCTTCAATTTTTTTTAATAGTAAGTTAACAGTTAATTTATATATAGAATCAAAATCGTAATTATAGTGTGTAATAAAATTGTTTGAACGGAATGATTTTATTTCTTGTTGGTCATTTTTATACAAAAGAAACGAAGCAAACAGTTCGAAGTTTATTTTGACAGAGGTGTGTTTCTGAATTGATTTATCTATTAGATGCTTGACTTGTGTACTTATACTATTGAGAAACATCTCTGGAAAACTTTGTATTTGTTCACCTATCGCTTTGATTTTATAACTTATAATTCGTTCTTTAAAAGAAGAATTAATAATTTCAACATTATCATAAATAGGGGTACAACTATTGTTTTTATGTACATTGCTACGTAAATGACTGGACCAACGACGATTATCTACAAATACTTTGCAATCAGAACAGTGAGGCATTATGTTATTGTTTAAATCAAAGATTACTATAATTACTTCAATACAATTAGATTACGTAATACTTACAAGTAATATTCACGGTCTTAGGTGTATTGTTACAAAATATTTTATAAAATTAGTACAACTTGATATTCATTCCAGGGTCTTTGTGTAATTTTATTCACAGGCAAATCGGTAATAATATTCATGCGGTATGTATCTGAAATAAAAAAAATATGCATTAGGTACTTTATATGATTAGTAGGTAGGTTACGGTACGTTCCGAGGAAAATAATATATCTAATAATTACCTGCGAAAAATGAAATGTTTCGTACATTAGAATATGTATCTGCGTAGCCCAAATAATAATATGTTGATAAACTTCAGGTAATTAAATACTTTTGCAAAGACAAGTTATTTGTTTGGTATCTGAAATAAAAAAAATGTTTAATTTATTAGGTACTAATAAAAAATAAGTATATAATTGTATATTCTAAGTTGAAATTGAGAAAATTATTATTATGTTCTAATTGTTGATAATTACCTGCACAATATGTAATGATTCATACATAAGTATGTGTGTAATCCAAATATGTAGATTATGTATTCAGGTCCCGAAAATTTTTTTCAAAAGATGAAAGTTTTCGTATATACTTTCTTGTGTGCGATCAATCAAATATTTAAAAAAAAATTACAGACAATTTAGAAAGGTGCTCACTACGAGAGAGGCCTTTAAGGTAATAAATAATATTTTAGGCTATATTTTATTATTATTATTTTTTGTCTACAAATCATAAAATATTTCATCATAAAATTTGTTATTACCCAATAGTTTACACGTGTGCGAAACCTTATTACTTATTTCACAATCGCAATAATCAGCTATTTTAGTCAGGGTTGGCAATAACTCGGTAGCAATCTATATATTAGCAATATACAAATTTTACACTAAATACCATTTATATCTATCATAGTATATCGAGAAATAATTATTCGCATGATTTTATGGTGGTTGTTGACGTAGTTAAAGGAATTAT